GCGCCGAACTCGGCGTTTTAGCACCGACGTCGACAAAAAAAAAACACCACGGTATGAGCGCGGCTACGTCTCCTTAATTACTTACAATAATTAACATTATGTGAAAAGTGACAACACTGCGTAATCTCGTTGCCAACCCCACTTTGATGGGAGAAAAATCGTTCTAATACAATTGAGTTTTGAACGAGAGCGCGTGGGAACATTTTCCAAGCTTTACGAATACTTCGGTGTATACCGGTGGCGGTAGTTCTCCCCGAATTTCCACGGCAGTTCCGCAGAGGCTACCATATCCTTACATTGAGAATTCAAATATCCCTGTGTATCGAGTAGTAACATCTAGTTGCCCAAGGCTTCAATTACCGCTTCTGTCTCGACATCATCAAGACCGTCTTCAAATCAATGAACGTAAGCCACTTTGTATTCTCGTGATACTTCAATGAGCCCTGTAAGGAAGTGGATGTGGTTATTGTACTGAGCCCTCTTCGGAACACTACTTGCTCGCACGGCTGTCATTCATCTAATATTCTGCCAATCCTGTTCAGGATGACGCGAGTGAAAGTTTGTAGATTACAGGCAGCAGGCAGATCGGGCAGTAATTGCCAATATCTTCTAGATCTCCCTTTTCATACAGCAGCATAGCCTTGATGGTTTTTCACGACGTTAGAATTTGCATTGTGAGAGGTACCGCGTGAAAAGCCTAGAGAGAGTTTTGACCATAACTGGTGGGAGACTCTTTAGATGTTCTGGTCTGGTCCAATCGGGACCGGGCGCCGTACAGTTCTTCATCATGATGGCATGTCGAATTTCGGAAGGGAGTACCGAAGGAGCGACATGCCCGCCTCGCCTAAGATAGTGAGTAGGCAGGTTGACGTGGCTGTCGAAGGGATTCGGATAGAAGTTGTAGATGACTTTCTACAACTTCTATCCGGACCCTTCAAGACGCAGTAGTTGTTATGTCAGGACGATCAGGGAAAGTCATCTTGGTCTTAAAATCGGCGAAACTCTGTCGGGCTTTGCGTATGTTTTTTCCTGCCTGGGCGGCTTCGTCCATAACTAACGTCCGAGCTGCGAAGCTATGTAGAGAAGCGATAATATCTTTGCTGATGATTGCCTGCAGCAAGTACGATTCCACGCTGGAGTACAGTTCGAAAGTCTTCGAAGAGAGTGGTCTCTCAGTTGCTTGTAGACTCTCTGCTTTCCTAGCATTATCGTGAAGATGATTGACGAGCCGGTTGTATTCTTCATCGATGTTGTCGATGAAGGATACAATACAATACAATACATGATGTTGTCATTATGGAACTGTCCACCAGGTGACTCAAAGGTCATCGCAAATGAGAGAGCCTCCGGAACTGCGAGTTACAGTGGATAGGGTGGGACGGCATGATAAACTCGGTCAGCCTTTCTCCTTTTCTTCCATTCCATCCACTCCATTCCGTGAATGCCGATGTGAAGCTTTTCAGTTTTTCCTTCGGGGGCCATTCTTGGCGTTGAAGCCACCGACGATGACTTTGAAGAAAGTATGGTCTTCTCTGTACAGTCTTCCAGATCCATGTTAAACGCTCCTAACTCCACATTTTCGTAGCCTGATGTTGGGGGTAGACGGTTGAGCTTCATCTTCTTTATCGCAAACGTCCGGTTCGGATCGTCAAGCATTCGTACGAACCGACGTTCATGGCCAACTGACGCCGCGAACGCTTCTATTGTCGCATGTTCCAAGGAACATTTCTTCTCCACCAGTACAAGTCAGGCCTGCAAAGTCAAATACAACATGTAGTGGGCGAAGCCTTCTCATCTCACAATCAGTCATTCCGATGAGATGGCACTTGATCTTCCTAGCTCTAAGATCAACTCTTCTATATACGAGTAGTCTATCAACTCTGGAAGGTCATCATCAACTCTTCTATACACGCTTCCAATGCAAGCGTCCGTATGTTTAAAATACAGATCCCCATCTTAGTCCTTCTCTTTTCAGACGTCCTGTTTTGGCCCTGAGCTTTTAGCAGCCTCTCCCGAGCGGTCCTACCCAACACTGCCGTGTTGGGGGCTCCCTCAGGTTTAGAGAAATAGAGGAATGGGATCCATTTATATTACTGTTTTTGGCAAATGCAAGTACGATTAGTTTGCCAGGTTCTAGCGTGAGGCTGGGTTGACTACGGCTGCCAGCCAGGCTATCCCAAAGTGGACGAGGGCTTTGTTTTTGGGGGCAGTCAATCGCCTATCAGATACTAATTCACCCGAATGCAAGCTTTTGGCTGGGTCAGTGGGCAGATACCAACTGCACCCGCAGCCTCTCCACACGTGTATGCTTGAATACACCTGCGAGAAATGTATGGATATTGACCAGCACAACAGAAACAGGGAGTCGATCACCTGAATCCACCTCCCATCGGGCTAGTACCAGGGACTTTTGATCGGCGGTTTACTCCCCTATATCCTCCACCTGGGGACTCCCTAAATAGCCTTGTTGCTAACCCGCTGAGATCCTTCAGTGAGGGAGAACCCTCATTGAAAGAGATCCTTGGTTGGGTGATGTTTGATTTATCATGAATTATTACACCAAAGAGTGACATTATTCACGGAGCTAGCAGAGATTTCCGAGCGCTTGTGCTGCAGGCAAGATGTCGATATTTGAGAGTGCTTTGAACATGGTTGTGAAAAATTTCTATTCAAAAAAGAACTCATACAAATGAAAAAACGCCCAAATTCCAAAATTTTCAGTTCTGAGTAAGCAGAACTTTCCAGATCTAGTTCTCTTCGACGAGTGGGCTCCCAGCTCGACGCACCGCTTGATTTCTTTGTATAGAACGTGCTTGGGTCAAGGCATGCGCCAAGACTTGCTGCATTCCTATTACTCGAAGGTAGCCCTGCAAAACAGTATTAACAAATTGTTCATCAACTACCCCCACACCGGTCCACAAGTTTCTCAACGACCCTTGTGCCCGTAACCGACTGGATTAAAGCAGAGTAGTTCCAATTACACAATTTATTTTTTGAAGAATGAAATAGCCACTAAGTGCCCTTGTTTGAGCTCTAACCTTGCTTTTAAGCGGCAGATTTTTTGCTTCCATAATTTTGTCTTGCCCTGTCCATATATTTACTTACTATTGCCCATATCTTACTTTACTATTACTATCGTTAAATACGGAAGAATAGTAGAATATGTTCTGACTCCTTTTAATTGCTGTTTCCACGCCCCCCGTCTCACAAGGTTGGCGAATTTTTTGACGTAGAACAATTTTCGATGATTTCATAACATTGCCGTAATGCGGTCAAAACGGCGCAGTTGACGCTTGATGTTGGGGTTATTCTTTTGTCCAGCACAAGTGGAGTGAGTCAATGATAGATTTCTTTACCACAAGGGTACAAACCGCTTCGGAGGAGCTCTTTCTCATAAATTCATTAAAAAATTCTTTGATCTGGCATTCAGATTCCTAGTTACCTTGCGGTTCTTAAATTAGAATGTTTTCTTCTTTTACGTTGTGTCTATTTGTTGATCGACTTGTGCTCTTTTACAGTATATAGCAATTTATATAGAATTATGGATGATCGCGTAGAGGATAACATGGCTTTTATTATGAACGTGGGCGAAAGG